CTCGGATTCAACAGGCTTTTCACCTCTCTTTTGAACTTCTGTATAAATGCTTCCTCGCTCTCGCTGTGTTATGCCTACTGCATAAAGAATAATATTGAATTTTTGATGGACGCTGAATGCATGTCTAATAATTGTTTCGCTACACATGGAAGACATAGAGCGTCACACCTATTACGCGACAAGTGCGATATCCCACACGTCCAGATGCTTATGTGGCAACCAAATAAAAATGTGAGTTTTTCGTCATTTATCCCGCAGACTTATTCATTGGCTCAAGCTGGGGAATTTTTTAAAAAGAAATCGATGATTATACGCTCTGAACTTCAGCACTGCTTCTCCACATGGAGGAGCAAGGATCTTACTCAACATGATTTGAGACTTCATCTGCTCGGCGAGAGTATCTGCGTGCTTCATAACACCCGTTACGTCAACCCGATATATCTCAACGATAGATATACTCTGACAAGAATTTTCAGGACGGCTGACTCCCTTTCTATTTTAGAAGCCATATTTGCCTCAATCGCAATTGTTTTCGCGCGGATGTCGCTTTGAATCGCGAATGCGAGTATTAAGGAAGGAAGGAATGAGTCCCGTCTTCTGGAAAGAGAAGTACTTCTTTGCGAAGCTCATTCGGAGGGCGGATATGGAAAGTTCCAGTCACCCGGACATTCCAGATCGACACATGCAGGAGGGAGAGCGGATGTGTCGATGCATTCCGTAGTGCGACGACGGGGAACGTGGGTGTGGATGGCGATGGCGGGGGGTCTGGACTGGATTTTATGTCAACAGTTGAATGTCGCCGCCCACGATATATGTGACCTTGGCTCGCTCAGCCGTCACCATCCACTTCGACCTCCACGGCCTTCCGAAATGCTTCAACTTCGCCAACTATTGTTTGGTCAGGGGTAGAATACCGGCGTCTCTTCCCCCCTACTCGTCACTCTTTCTCTTTTTTTATCTTCTCGGTCTTCCATGAACATACTGGTGGCCTACATAACTGGTGTGGCATGGAGCTTCTCTCATCGTATGAACAGACATGACCTTTATTCAAGGAAAAAGGTACGACATGACCTTCATGTAGATTTATGAATCAAAGAAGCGCAGTGTTGAGATATAGTGTCAGATGTTGACAGGGAGAAAAAAAAGAGCGAATGCTGGACATATGACGCCTGGGAAAAAAAAGCATCGACTACCGCAGAAAACTGCATTTCGACGAATGCTCGTCTGTCAGCGGTCTAGCATTCGAACCGCTGGATAGAGAGAGCTGAAAATTTTAACACTGATTCCATACCATCCAATGATGTGCCTTTTTCATGGGATTTCTCGTTCCGACGTACGGTTTTCATTTTTTCGCGAAATTTCTCAAATTTACAATGGAAGGAAAATTTGGCACGTCATGGCTATCAATGTCAAGGATGCCATTAAATATACATCGGCTAAGAAAATAAATATATACATGGGCTCGATGCAATTGGTGCACGAGGTCTAGAGTTATAGATAAAGAATGGGTTAAGAAATGAGCAGCAGCCGTGCGATCTGGCATGTCGTCGAATAAACAACGTTCCCGCGAGAGAAGAATGATGGCGTTCTCGCGAGTCATCCTCGATGAGTGCTAGAACCACTCAAGGAAGATGGCGCATGAGCTTCTAGGAGAAAAATAAAAGGGTTCTCTTCCCCGTGAAGATGATATTTCGCCGAGAACTTCTCAGGTAAATCTTATTTCGATCATAGCTTTCGGGCCAATGAAACACATGATACCATGATGACAACCGTATCGTTCATGGTAGAGAAATATTGAACTCCTGTTTTGATGAGCTACTAGACGCTCCAGACGCTAAAAGTCGCCCTCGGATTCGTACTACCTCGCCAGGAGCGAAAAGGAACGAGAGCAGACTCACCGAACGCGGCGATTCTCCGGTGTCTCCAGGACTTCCAGACAGAAAGAAACGAGTTGCCCCTCTCCGGCCTCCAGCGGAAGGGGATGCAGCGGCTCTCTTGCCGTTCTTCCTGGGTGAAATGAAGGTCTTCTGAAGGTCGTTGCCCTCTTATGAGTTTCCGCTCCGAGGAAGGGCATCTGCGTGCTTTCATCCCTTTCCTCGACTTTTCTCCTCCCTCCTCATCGTATCAGGAGGACTTTAATCCTTCGACCACTCCGGTTACATTATTCTGAAAGCAATAGCACGTTTCCAGAAACCAAAGTTTTCACG